ATCAAGGAGAAAAAGATCAAATCTAGGCGGGAGAAAACCAAAATCGACCTAGACCGGAGATCTAGTCGGAGAAAACAACAGATTCGCCCATGTAATCCGAAAACGAACCCAACATGAACAGATCTAGCTGAACAAAACAAAAATGGCGTAAAAAAAAAAACCCATGAAGCGCACTTATTGAAATACGCCGAGTTTATTGTAACCGTGAGAGGCAGCCATCATCTTCCCACTCCCATGAAAAGGAATAGGGAGGCACATAGTGAAGAAGACGAAAGGGGTTAGATAGAGAAAGTTAGAGAGAGGTGGGAGAGAAAACATCATTTTAGTTAAGACGAGCAGGTACAGACCTATTGCCCCCTCCTAATTTTTTTTTCCCAATAATATACCCTTAGTAATTTATTTTCTTCAATTATATACCTTTAAAAATTACTATTACTCCCCAAGTATCCTAGATCCGTCCCTAACGGTGAGTTAGGATACACATTGCACATTTATATATAAGCCGGATTATGTTGCAATCGAAATATTTGACTTAATTTTTTTTCAAATTGAAAATTGTCAATGGCTGACCTGTCCAACGCCTTTTCCACTAGTCGCACTTGGACATAGCTCAAGAAACAAAATTTTGAATTTGTGGGATTGCAACGTCCGATTGGTCCTAATTTGTGGGATTGCACTTTACGGGATTTAAAAGGAAACTTCAAGTTTTTGTAAAATTGATCTTTCTTTCTTTTATTAAATCCTTTAGAGAAGTCCTTGAACGACTTTAAATGATTTTACAAGTTAGATTAGGACTCTCTAGTTTTTAAATAAACAATTTTTCTCTCATAATTCTATATGGCTTTTGAAATCAATTTTCAGTAATTATAGAAAGCCCTTTTGAGTGCTTTTCACAAAAAAAAAAAAAAAAATTGTTCTGATTCTTCTGTGTAGTTTTCTATTTTGAGAATACACAATATTTTCACACAAGTGATATTAGGTTGGTACGTGTTTTCTTTTTAACGAATTCGAGCAATCTGAAGATTCGAACAGATTCTGTTCAATGAAAAATGGGGTTTCTTTTTACCTTTCTAAATTTAGATTTAAAGAAAGGAGGATTCAGTCATTCTACGAAGGGGATAAAACATTCATGAAGTGTTCGTGTTTTACTAGCAATTTTTATTTTATTATTTTATTATTTTTATTTTACAATGATTGAGAAGTAAGCTTGAAATTAAGAGCGTTTGGATGGGGAGTCACAAAGTTAGAAGCGTTCAACAACTAGTTCATGGTAGAGTGATTGGGTGTGAGCCTAAATCAGAGTCTTTTGTACTTTGTTTTGAGATAGTGCATTGTTAATTCGCTTGAGACTGCAAAACTCTTTGTGGTTTTCATCTTGGTTGATCGAATTTATTCCAACTAGGATTTTTACGTTCAAAACCCGGTGTAACATTAAAATCTAGTTTATTTACTTGCTTTATATTTTTGTTATAATTTTAATTGTGTGGATAAAATTAAAATTTGGATAAAGGAGCAATGTACACTTATTCGGTCCATTCCCCTAAGTAATTTTGAAACTGATATAATACTACCATTTCGCATGGCGCATATCACACTACTTTTTGCATGTTTATATGATTTTAATGATAAAAATCCGATTTGACTATTTTAGAAGCCTTTAAAATGGATGGTCTTGAGAACTCCTTTCAAGATCGAACAATAAAAGTAACCCAATTAAATGGCAATTTAAGGTTAAATGACTTGAATTTTACCATGAAAATGCAATTTGAGGTTTTGAAATTGGAAAGATGGTGATTTTAAAAATCGGGAATTGTTGCTTACGATTGGACAACTTCGATGGCACCCTTATATGATTCAATGGAGGAAATTGTCCGATTGAAAGAGGATTTTGAGGGTTTTTAGGCAAAATAGTCTAAATTTTATAGTGAAAGTGTTAATTTGGGAATCTTTATGCGATATCTCAAATTTGGACTTATCAAGTACTGACCTGTTTGAAATCAAAAGTTAAAATTGGATTGATTGTGATCCAAAATTATGTTTTGAACCCTTTGATTTGGTTCGATAGGATTATGACCTCCTAGCGTTGATCAATATATAAATTAGTGTACCAAAAAAACCTTAATTGAGGCAACAATTATCCTTCCAAATGCACCATACTTAATTCAACTTAAAGGGAAAAAAAACCCTAATTGAGGCTCAATTTGAAGTCAATTTCACAATCGAATGGTGAAATGACTTGAAATCTTAAATATTGGCGAAATATCATATTTGGGTTGAATTTAGAGTCTTTTTTAGAACTATTGATATTGAGCGAAATCAAAAATGCTGAAAATCCCAATCGGCCGAGTCCCAATTTTGGGTTAATTTCACAGTTTGATGGTGAAATCGATTGGAAAGGTTTGAAGGGATAAAATTTCACCCTTAGGAAGGCTTTGGAGTCTCTGAAACTCCTTGATCAACCATGTCAATTGATAAAGTCGGAATGGTGAAAATTGTCGAAAATAAAAGATGAGGCAAGACATGGCACCCACGGGTAGAGATGCAAGTTTTCACCCACTTAACAAACCCCCAAGGAAAATTCATGAACATAAATTTCAATGAACAAATTCCAAGTTAGAGAGTCATAAACTGTCCTAATTAATATCAACTTTGAGGGTGCATCAAGTTGAGAATTGTCTTTATGGAATCCCCTTGTAAGCTCTTGAATTAACACGATATTGTGATTAAAATGAGATTAATTACCAACAAGCCTGTGGCCTAGTGGTATAAGGCTCCTAACTTTAGTGGAGACAGTGTGTGTAAGTTCCAACTAGGAAAAAAAAAAAAAAAAAGAGATTAACTGCCTTGGATAAAAGCTGATTAATAAAGGAAGGAATTAGATCGAATTAGCTTAAGTTTGTTACTAATTAATGTTGTGCTTGGTGTGCATAAGCCATTCCAACCATTCATTTGTTTGGTATGTAATTTAAAGTGGAAATGTTCATTCCATTGGAATGAAAATCCATTCCACAACTAAACTTATGAAATGACCATTCCATTCCCAAGTAATTTTTTTTATAAAAAAAAAAAAAAAAATCAAGTTCACAAAATATCCTCATTTTCTAAGTTCAAAAACCACCACTACGTACCTTCCATCACAACCACTTTTGCCTTTCACCACCACCACCACCACCAATTTCCACCACTACCACCGTCTTCCACCACCATCATCGCTATCAACTTTCACCACCACCCACCGCTTTCGCCATCGCCTTTCACCATCGCCTTTCACCACCGCCACCACTTTTACCACCGTCGCCGCCATCACCTTTCACCACAGCCACCAGCTTCCATCACCACTTTCACCACCACTACCTTCCACCACCACCTTCACCACCTCTACCTTCCACCGCCACCACCATCGATCTCCATTACCTTCTACCACCACCATTGCCTTTCACCATCACCACCACCATTGCCTTCCACCACTGCCACCGCCTTCCACTATTGTCACCACCTTCCACCACCACCACAGTCACCTCTATTGGCTTCTACCACCATCATCGACACCACTATCTCTTTCCACCACTACCACCACACTACTACCACGGCCTTCCACCAACATCATTGCCACTTTCCACCACCACCGCCGCCTCCGCCTTTCACCACTACCGATTTCCACCTCCACCACTATCCACCACCGCCACTACCATCATTTATTTTAAAAAACTTTATAGAAGAATGTCATTTTATTAATTTAATTTATTCACCAACACCACTACCGGTTTCCACCTCCACTACTATCCACCACCACCGCCGCCACCATTTATTTTAAAAAAAATTATAGAAGAATGTCATTTTGTTAATTTAATTTATTTGTTACTAAGAGAGATATTTTGGAGAACTCAATTTGAAATTTATTCTATTTTAAATTTTAAATTGGTCCAACCAAATACTAAAATGGTTATTATCATTCCATTCTTACACATTTTATATTTACAACCAAATAATAAAATACCAATGACAATTCCATTCTATTCACATTCTCATTCAATTCCTATTCTTATTCTATTTCCACTCACATTTCATTTTATTTATGCACATCGAACATAACATAAGAGTTTATAAATACACTTATCTATAAGGTTGTGATAATAAATAAGTCTAAACACATCAAGATAAGGGCAATGTAAGTGAAATTCAACTCCATAATTATCAACTTGTCACTAGTAAAGATTGAACTACCTTGTATTTGAAAAGGATGGGTGAGAAAAAAGAAATAATTATTTATATTATCATTTTTCCTTTCCCAAAATTGGGAGTTTTAATGATATTGCAAAATTGGATTTACCTAAACAAAAGAAGTATGGACTTACCACTAATACTCCCAAGCCCCAAAACCTCCTGTAGTCTTGTGCATATGCTGATATCTGTCGTGCACCCCACTTTCTCACGCGCACGCGACCCCACACACAATAACCCTAATTTCCAAGACCTTAGTCTCTCTTCTCTCTCTTCCCTTTTGATTATAGCAGAGAGACAGAGAGAGAAACATTTTAGTCTGAGAAAATTAAGAAAAACAAAGAGCTGCCCAAGACCTTTGACACTCACACACCACCAAAACCTAAAAGAACTCTCCCCCATAAAAACCCAACAAATCGAGAGAGAGAAACCTCTTTCTAAGCTCAGCTATTCTCTAGCTTCCTCAACAATATCATCATCATTTGTTTAAACTCTTAGTTCTCTCTTACACAAATTTACACTTTTTTCTGTGCTAGCTCAAGTACTTATGGCTGTCTCTAGCTCTAAAGAGGGCTAGCTTATTATAAACATCTTTTCTTTGTTGTTTGAGCTCAAATCATTATTGGTTTCAAATCTTTGATCCATATATATATATATATATATATAAGAACCCTACTTTTCCCTTTGCTTCTTTAGCAACACTCAACCAAGATCTAGCTCAAACCATCATATATTCTCCACCTATTAGTTTAATTAATTTCTTTGAATTAATTCCGAACATGGCGAACCGGTGGTGGACCGGGCAGGTGGGTCTTCCGGGAGTCGAGTCATCGTCTGCCACTTCGCCGGCGATGAACAAGAAGCCAGATCTAGGTATATCCATGAACCAGAACGGCGGAAATGGCAGCGGCAGCGGTGGAGGAGACGAAGATCAAGATGAGAGAGAGAACAGCGACGAGCCGAGAGAGGGCGCCATAGAGGTGGCGATGCGGCGGCCTAGAGGGCGTCCACCGGGGTCCAAAAACAAGCCGAAGCCGCCGATATTCGTGACCCGGGATAGCCCTAACGCGCTCCGGAGCCATGTCATGGAGGTGGGGAATGGGTCGGATGTAATCGAAAGCATAGCCCAATTTGCCAGAAGAAGGCAAAGAGGAGTGTGTGTGCTGAGTGCAAGTGGGACAGTAACAAACGTAACGCTTAGACAACCCTCTGCAGCTGCAGCAGTTATGGCACTACACGGCCGGTTCGAGATTCTCTCTCTAACCGGCTCGTTCCTGCCCGGTCCAGCCCCGCCCGGGTCGGCGGGACTGGCTATATACCTGGCCGGTGGGCAGGGGCAGGTGGTGGGTGGGAGTGTGGTGGGGTCACTGGTGGCTGCTGGACCGGTCATGGTGATAGCAGCCACCTTTTCGAATGCTACTTACGAGAGGCTGCCGCTGGAGGAGGAGGAGGAGACGGGTGGAGGTGCAGGGCAGGTGGGTGGTGGTGGTGGTTCGCCGCCGGGGATGGGTGGTGGTGGAGGGCAGCAGCAGAGTGGCTTACCGGACCCCTCGGCCATGCCGGTTTATAATTTGGGACCAAATTTGATGCCTAATGGTGGTGGACAGTTGAGCCATGATGCATTTGGTAATTGGGCTCATGCTAGACCTCCTTACTAGATCAAGGTGAGAATATATAAATACATGAGGCCTCTTGAACTATCTGTTGAATACTATATTGTAGTGAGAGAGAGAGAGAGAGTTGGAGATAAAGATGAGAACTTTGAGGTTTATTTATACATATTTGTATAGTTTCTCTGTGATTTTGGTTCCTCTTCATCTGCAATACAATAATTGATCGATGTCTAGTTTCTGCTGTTTCTAATTTTTTTGATCGACTCTATTATTATTTTACAATTAAGTTATTTTTTTCTTATCTAAATTAATTATAGCAATATAACTGAAATTTTCCTATTTTGGGATCTTAGTAAAGGATTTTGGCCTTAGTTATTCAAAATCAAATGAAAAAAATATAGGGGAAGAAAATATAAAAGAAGAATGAAAAGATATTCCTATATATGTTGTTCTTACTTTCTTTCTTCCTTTCTTTTTCCCATTTATGAGGTGTACAAATTACTAGTTTTTCATATATACACACACATATGGGTGTGTGTTTCTTCCATCTCCTCCTTCCTCCTCCTCCTCCTTTCTTCACTTCTATTTCCTACTTTAATTTAAATGGATGGGTTAGTTTTTTTTTAGGAAATTATGGGTTATTTGAGGTTCAAAGATCATCATGGAGAATCATTATTTTTTATTATTTATTTATTTTTTGTCAATCTCAAACTTAGTGTTTTAGGACTTCGACCATTTCTGTAGAAATTAAGGAAACGTTGTTTACCCAGAAATTTAAGTATCTTAACCAGTTAAAACTAAAATTAGAAAATTGTTGTAAATTGGGTGGTAAAATTCGAAAATCATTGTATATATATCATATAGGTGATACTGATTCATACAATTCATCAAATATTCATATTTTTATTATATTCGTTTTTATATAAATATGATGTGAGTGTGTGTGTGTATATATATATACCAATCCCTAAAATCTGGAGTAAAAGACCAATTAATTAAGCTGCTTTTATTTATTTATTTATTTTTGGGGTTAATTAGATGACCAAGCTCTACCTAGACAGCTTTAATTCCATCAATTTCTGTCATATCCGGGTGAAAGAAAATGTTGGGGATGCCAAACTCTTAATTTGGCACCATTTGACAAGGTTTTCCCATGTTTCTTCTCTCAGTATCTGATCGAAGCAATTTATTTGAGATGTGATAATGGGAATCCGTTTCCTGGGATGCCAAAAACATAGATGAAGAACTCTTTTGATGTGTTCGATTGATGCCCTGAAATTGAAATTCGAGAAAAATTAACACTTTCAAACTTTAAATTAATTTTTTTTTTAATTTTAATTTTAAATCGCTAATTCCCTACCACCGAACAAAGCATTAGTTGTATTCATTATTTGTATACGTACAAAAATGTGTGTTGCATCGGAGCTCAAAATGTGTCGATGCACATGCTGTTTTTATTTTATTTTTTGACAAATAACTTATTCACGTTTTCGAAGTAAAAACATGAACTCTTAGGCTATTTGGTTCGTATTTTGTTTTTTATATTTATGCTTTTGTCGGGACTGTAGCAATGAACATAAAAAAAAATGTTTTGTTTTGTACATTGCCAAAATGTTTCGTAAATAGTAGCCAAAAGTCGAAACACCAATTTGATATTTTTACATGTTTCAGCACTGTAGCAATGAGTACTATAGCGATGAACAGTAAAAAATAAAGTAATTAAAATAATTTAAAAAAAAACTCTTAAATGACATTTTTAAACTAATCATTATATTTCTCAAAAGAAAATCTATAAACACAGACTTCCCCAAAAGATTCATTGCAATAGGGAAATGTCGAGACTCTCAAGTCTTTGGCCTCGCTCCCTTGGTGTCATGAAGGAAGTCCCCAAAGTTTCAAGGAACTTAATTTTCAAAAGATTCGCTTGTCATGAGGTCGGAAGATGCCAACCAATTAACTAAGTTCGGAAACATCATCTAGTTCAATTTTCATGCCGGTAATGGTGACCAACTCCACCACGCTTGAAGAATAACTTGCAACTATAGCTTATGCTATTGAGAAGTTTACCAATACTATTGAGGATAAATACATGCAAATTGCTTTATCACGAACAAGCTTCAAGCTTAAAAAATTGGCGAGTCAGGTCAATAACTCCTGCACCCACCTAGTTTTACACCACAAGGAATAGTGGTACGTAGACAAGGCTCATCATGTATCCACGTTTGAGCAGGGGGCAAACAAAACTAATCTTGCACCCTCTATTGCTTCATTGTCCATCTAACACCTTCAAGACATGATCATTAGTGCGATCAATTAATAATATGGTGGCAACATTCCTCAAAATACTCACACATATGCAAAACCTTATACAACACGTACGAATAAATAACATGAGGATGTCAGTTGGGTATCAACCTCCCAAGTTCCTACAATTTGACGGAAGAGGCAATCCGAAGCAACACATCGCCCACTTCGTTGAAACCTGCAATGGTACCGGCACAGAAGAGGATCTCTTAGTCAAGCAGTTCGTTCGCTCCCTGAAAGGAAATGCTTTCGATTGACACACAGACATAACATATGGAACCACTGATACTTGGGAGCAAATGGAATGAGATCGAATTCTTAAATCGCTTCTATAACATTCGTCGTACTGTAAGTATACTGGAGCTTACAAGCACAAAACGATTGAAGGATGAACCTGTGATTGGCTATGTCAACCGTTGGCGAGCTCTAAGTCTAGATTGCAAAGATCGTCTCACTGAGATCTCCACAGTTGAAATGTGCATGCAAGGCATGCATTGAGGCTCCTCTATATCCTTCAAAGGATTAAGCCTCGTACATTCGAAGAGCTTGCTACTTGAGGCCGTGACATGGAACCCAGTATAGCAAGTCACGGAGTTAAATGTACTTTTTGTGTAGAAAACAAATAGTAACTTAATACGAATACTGCTATGGTCCCCCCTGACTTCAATGTTTGTGCCCACTGATAACATTTAGAAATCAGCTGCGGCTGGGTTGTTTTCCTCTAAAATAACATAATCCAAGTGATCATAGCATCACCTACAAGGTTTACGAGGGGTTAAAGTGTCATAGAGTTGTTTGTCCCACATTGAATTCAAATGAAAAAAAAAAAATTTGAGTATATATGAGCGGGTATGCAGTACCACCCAATAATTTAAAATTTTTAGTTATAGGGCATATGTCCAACCTATTACATAAAGCCAAACAAGAGAGAGAATTGGAAGTAAATTTACATTCAACTTTTTTTAATAGAGTATATTTTTTATAAGGAATTCATTTTTTTTTCTTTTCTTTTCTTGTAAATGTCTGAAATGTCTAGCATAAGGTGTTTCAAAACATAAGATTAGTCACTTTTTGTAAAAATAAAAAATAAAAATAAAAAAATCAAAGATTTAGGTTTATATTCAGTCTGCTCCTTCCAACACCTTCAATTAACAGAGATTACGTAAATTAAGTAATAACCCTTTTAGAAAAAAATGATTTGAGTAAATCAAAGAGAGAGAGAGAGAGAGAGAGAGAAGAAAACAAAAGCATACAATGAAAAGACATATGAACAAATTATATCATGAGGCATTTGAGGGTACGTTTAGATGTCTGATTTTAGTTTTGCCAAAATGTGACTAGGTTTAAATAACGAACGTCATTTGAGAGCGATTGTATACATTCAAAGTACTTTACAAATCATTAAAAAATTCAAAGTAACTTATGGATGGGTTGAATCTTTGTGAGTAATGCTCTCACGAGAGCTCTCTTATGAGAAAAGTAATGAGCTCTTCAAATTTAACCATTGTATTAAGATACTGTTTTGAGATTTGTAAAAATTTAAATGAATCATTTTAATACATATTTCAATTAATTGGTTAAAATGAAAAGTTCATTGTGAGGTTGCTCTCTTGAGAGCTATTCAGTTGTGACTCAAATTCTTGTGAAGAATTGCATTATGGAAAAGTGGAACCAGTTGCACTTTAAGTGGAATCGATTGCACTTGGCCAGTAACGAATTCCTAAAAAGTACAAGTAGTTGCACTTTATTGGAATCGATTGCACTTGCCTAATATGTGCAAGAGACATGCATTTTCTTTTTATATTTTTGAAGTCCGAAGATTTGTGGATCAGGGGTGGAGATTTGGGAAGGATATCGTGGCATATTAGGCTATTATTTTAGTTTTGTGATAGATATGTTAACTCCTAATTGAAAGGCAAGTTGTCCAAAAGGAATTGGGTTTGAAGAATCTATAAATACAAATGGGTTTGGCTGAAGAGAAAGATAGATGAAAGGTGTAGATCTAAAAAGGTGAGTGTTATGATAAGAATTAATGGAGAGTGTATATAATTGTTGTAAATGTAACCTAAGAAGAAAATAGTGAAAAAGTGTGTATAAGGTTTTGACATCTATGATTGTTTATTCTCTTTCTTGATACATAATAGTTTCTCTATGAACATAACTTTAGAGTTGGGTAAACTATGTAAAATATTGTGTTGTGTTTGAATATGTTGATTGTTGTTGATACAAGATTTCGCAGCGATCCGAAATGATGTCGTACCTGAGAAAGGTGATCGTGAAAACACCGGTGTACATGGTACCGGCCTAAGAGTCTCCGGTGATCAACCCAATGCTAAATCGGGAGGATGGAAAGAAGGTAAAACGATTCTCTTGGGGATTTGTGTCGTACCTTTTCTGTTGACTCGAATCTCCTCTTTATAGAGGTATCAAGTTGCATCCAAGTAGGAGATCGAGTTATACCTTTCACTTCTCCCACACGGATGAAGAGCCTTTATAATATTTACATTCTCTAAGTTTAATATGCAAACAAGAAAATGGGGGACAACTGATAGGGAGTCTTCACTAAGGAAGTTTGACCATCATACGAAAGGATATAAAGTCGGAGGCTCTTAGGTTGGTACCATGTCGGTGCCTTCCCGATCACCTTAATTTCTCTTTCTTTTTCAGGTACAACGTTGTTCCAGGTCGCCATAAAATCTTGCATCAACAATTGTTATCTTTTATATGATGTGATGTGATGT